CTACCTTGGCGGGATTCGAACCCGCGACCCCCTTGTGTAGTGACCATGTCACTTACCACTACACCAGACGGCCGTACAGAAACATATGTGTGAACGAATTGTATTTTTTTTTGTATCATATTAAATTATAATCAAGCATGCTCTCAATCGACCGTAATCTAGGGTTCTGCACATCAGAACAACCAGAAACTGATAACCATACTTTAAATATGTTCAAATTTATACAAATGTGAAAATATCAACATCTAAATTGTCTCAAAAAAACAGTTCGCATAAGTGCTTTTGTTGTTGTATATTGAAGACTATGCTCTACAACTTAGAGCACTGTTTCCTGAGGTTCCCAATCGCCGTCCCTGTTCTCTATTAGGAAACCATATTCAGAGGGTGGTCGTTCGTAAGCTGCCAGTCGCAACCGCCATTCGAGAAGCTGAGGACCGGACGAGATGGAAACAGCTCACGAGACAGGCCACGGTCAAGTTCAGGAACACGACCTTCAGTAATGAAAAAAGCGACGAAGAAGAAGAAGAAGTCATTCGTAAAATCAACAATAAGGTGTTTTTTTTGCTCACGGAAGTACGTTCATTATTGCTTTTTTCTACCGACCGCTGGTAGCCTAGGGGCTATTCCGGCTACTCATGAACTGGTAATGGAACTCACGGGCTCAACTTGAGAGAGTTTGATAACTCTGGCTCTAGCAAGAGTTTCGCTGAATTCGCAACCCTCTGAGAAGATCGGCTCCATCAGATTCAATAACCCTTGCATTAGACGCCTTCCGCTCTAATACTAGGAGTAGAGACCCCAGTAACCGTACTCGTCGAACTCGGCAAAAAATTCGACGTGCAATTTAACCTAAGCATCAGGCCGTTGAGTTTCTCGCCGGATCTTCTCAGCGGGTCGCAATTGCGATCCGTTAGTAGATTCATTCGCGAAGCAGCTACTCTTGAGTTGTTAGGTCTCCCTTGGAGGCGCTCGGGTAGCTGTTAGCAAGTCCCGCCCATTTTGGCTGAGCCCTTGCTCGCCCACCTGTCCTTGTGAAACTGAAAAGACCTCCGGGCCACCAGTAAACCCACAATCATAAAAAAAGAAGATCGGTAAGAAACTCAGTGGGTTGTGTCTATGGGATTGGCGTTAAGCTAACCAAAACGTGAACTCCGGTTGAAAGGTGAGGTCAAAGGTACATCCACACAGACGTCCACTATATTGTTTCAGTGCTCTGAGGAATTATTCGAGATGATACCGGCATCTCGTTTTTACCATCGCACCGCCCGCCACCGGAGTAGAGTTCATCCATACTACCTGGAGCCACTGCGGTCATCCACAGTGCGCTTCCAGAGATCTTTTTTGCCACGCACCATCCGGCTATGGAATGAGCTCCCCTCCACGGTGTTTCCCGAGCGCTATGACATGTCCTTCTTCAAACGAGGCTTATGGAGAGTATTAAGCGGTAGGCAGCGGCTTGGCTCTGCCCCTGGCATTGCTGAAGTCCATGAGCGACGGTAACCACTCACCATCAGGTGGGCCGTATGCTCGTCTGCCTACAAGGGCAATAAAAAAAAAAAAAAGTTGTTCTTATCCCGAAAGCTGTGGATGCATCTCAGGCATTGCCCCTACTACACGTGATTGAAAGCACGGTAAAAATATTCTTGTAAAATACTTTCGCTCATGTCGCTAATGTAGACAGTTTCGAAATTTAATTAAAAATATCTAAAACGACCACTGAGGCGTGAACAAATGCGTACGACCATGCAAAACGACAATTTGTACCGAGACAATATCACGTCATTCGTCGCGTATTTAGCTTTGACATCCACTAAACTATTCGGCGACCATATCGATTAGAATCTATATATATAAAAATGATTTGCTGTTCGTTAGTCTCGCTAAAACTCGAGAATGGCTGGACCGATTTGGCTAATTTTGGTCTTGAATTATTGGTAAAAGTCCAGAGATGGTTTAAAAGGTAGATAAATATAAAAATGCTCGGTATTAAATAAATAAAACAATTTAGTTTTCCTTTGATGTGTCGATCGATCCGTCGAAAGTTTAGGTTTTTTATTTATCGATTAAGGCACACGAAGTCTGCCGGGTCAGCTAGTACTTAAAAAAAAAAAAAAAATTTAACAAAATTCTAGATTTATTTTATGAGCGTGTAACACTGAAGATAATACTGAATCTACGTCCTGTATATCCTAAAATTCATTCCGCTTACGGTGTTGTTTAAGCGAATTTAAAGATACAGAAGAAAGAGAAAAGCGGGAGATAGATGTCTAGTCAGAGTCGGAGACGCGAGCGGTAATCAAGTAATTAACAAATAAAAGAGGACGTTATGTCCTCGTAATTGAACAGCACAAAATAGAGATTATTTAAGTATCTACTTAATTTAAAGTATTGAAATATATTTCAGTCATCATATCAGGCTTGATTTGACTAGAAAAATACTTAATTGAAAATATATACCACTGATTTCTATAAATTAAATACAATCTCTACGGAGACACAAAATGTGTGATTGTAAAATTCAAATGACGTATTATGATTATAAAAGGGTTATCCCGAAGTTAATGTGTTCATACATTTAAGTTTACCGAAATTTAAGCATCTCATACTGTCTGCCTTGAGATTTGTTAATTAATTATAATCAATCTACCCAGTGTTAAGTAGTTGAGGAAATCTATAGAAACCGCAACTTTATTGTCACTATCCACCATGGTCGAAGTCTCAATTGTATTATTATATTGAAGAGTAAAAAGCTATTTGGTTTAAGCGACATTTCGCTTAATACGCGACATTTACCTTTGTAATTAAAGGTCCTTTTTATTTGGTATTAGTATCAACAATTCGATGTTTTTGAACTTCAATTAAGCTTACCGAATTACAGTAGCCAAAAAAAATTTTTAATAAGTTTTTTATAAATTTCAATCTTTAAAATTGGCTCTCCTGTAAAGTTGCAAAAATGTCGTTTAAACCATTTAGACTTTAACCCTTCGATATATTTTTGTATATCACGGCTATTTTACCCTTCAAAGTGGAACGCATTCTTGTTTCACGGCCAAGCTAGACAGTGAATCCTTGCAGTAATGCCTTAGGCATTAAGTCCGCCAATGTAAATTTTACATGAAGTGCAATAAATAAATAAATAAATCAAATTTATCATGATGTATCAATATAGTGCTATATACTTAAGAATTTCTAGATATAACTTAAACAATATTTACGGCTTAATTTTGCGTACATATTTTTTTTTTATTTTTTATTTCGGACATATGAAATTTATTTATTTATTAGGCACATCACAAGTTAAAAAGATACATAAAAACACAAGTAAAAAGAAACAAAATCTGGCTTGCAACATAAGCTATGACTGCACGACTAAGTAAGACAAAGTGCTTTTTTGTTTTTTCGTCAAGAAAATCCAATAGAAGCACATAATCAGTATACATCGCCTGTGCCGTATGTTGTTTGTGGGCGTTACAGCTAATGCGCAAAATTAACGACGTTCCGTATTCACTTACGCTTTCGAAGCTTTCGTTTCCAAATACATTTACAATTTTAACGTCGAAAGCGTAAAGTGAGTTGTCGGTTTTTTCAAGTCGGAAATATTCTATGGTGCATTCGTGGTCCAGAATTTATTTCGTTTCTCTGAACGCGAGATTAAGAGATGAAAAAAAAACCGAAACTTATATATGACTAGTTGACCCGGCAGACTTCGTAGTGCCTCAATCGATAAATAAAAGACTGACGGGGGACACATCAAAGGAATAACAAAATTGTTATTTTTATTTAATTCCGAGCATTTTTATATTTATCTACCTTTTAAACCTTTTACCAATAATTCAAGACCAAAATTAGCCAAATCGGTCCAGCCGCTCTCGAGTTTTAGCGAGACTAACGAACAGCAATTCATTTTTATATATAGAGACTAGCTGACCCGGCAGACTTCGTAGTGCCTCAATCGATAAATAAGAGACCTAAACTTTTGTATAAAATAAACTTAAAACAAAAGGAATACGTCTGACCGGGGACACATCAAAGGAAAAACAAAATTGTTATTTTTATTTAATTCCGAGCATTTTTATATTTATCTACCTTTTAAACCTTCTCTGGACTACCACGAATAATTCAAGATCAAAATTAGCCAAATCGGTTCAGCCGTTCTCGAGTTTTAGCGAGACTAACGAACAGCAATTCATTTTTATATTATAAAGATATATAGATTTTCTGTATGTTAAAAATACAAACAACTCACTTGACTTGTTTGGAATTTAATAAAATTATTTTGTTTGTAGTCTGAGGTAGAGGTCATTTTTTTTTTTAAACTTATACGATCGATATTGGTGTTATTACAAACTAAACGAGTGTTTATATGCCAGACATCAATGGTTATCGTTCTGAAGATGTCATCGACCCCGTGACAGCTGTTATTTTAATGTTATACATTGCGTGCATTCCATAGCTGCATTTTTTTAACGCAAATGTATATGACACTTTTGGAGTCGATGTATACAGGGGTAGTCACTACATAGTATAAAACAAAGTCGATTTTTCTGTCCCTATTTCTGTCTGTCCCTATATATGCTTAATTCTTTAAAACTACGCAACGGATTTTGATGCGGTTTTTTTTATAGATAGAGTGATTGAAGGGATATCGGTAACCGAAGGTATTAAAGGCTTTATTCGTAGAACCACAATCGTCATACCCTTAACACCGTAAACCATTTTTTTTTATTGCTTAGATGGGTGGACGAGCTCACAGCCCACCTGGTGTTAAGTGGTTACTGGAGCCCATAGACATCTACGACGTAAATGCGCCACCCACCTTGAGATATAAGTTCTAAGGTCACAAGTATAGTTACAACGGCTGCTCCACGCTTCAAACCGAAACGCATTACTGCTTCACGGCGGAAATAGGCACGGTGGTGGTACTTACCCGTGCGGCCTCACAAGAGGTCCTACCACCAATCTATCTAAAGTAAAACTAAAATACTTAAACGTTAAATTACCTTGCAAATAATCCATGTTCAAGACGACTCCGGCCGCCGCGTATCCAAAACCGAACACGATTTGAAAGAACAACAACAAAAATGTGAAATTCATACAGAAAACACGAAAATTGTTTACGTAATTATTGATAAGACACTTCTCGGACGCGTTCCGTTCACTTGTATGCGTGCGAATTGTTTTACGTGCGTTCGGTTGGCTGTACGGCCAAATGCTTAAAGGTGGGCCCATTTTGCGTGCTGTCTCCTAGTTCGTCTCCGCTACGACTGTTGCATTTTCGCCCCGCTGTTTACTTCGAAGCTCCGTTGATCCTGTAACAAATGAAAAGCTTATTAAGTGATATTCGTTTTCCGCGAATCACAGCATACACAATCAAAACTATTATATATATACTTTATGACAATTTTTTTTTTTGTATGGAAACTATGGACATCTTTTAGCGAATGCCTCTAAACTTATATGTTGTTAAAGTTAAGGCATTAAAAGGAAAATAAAAAATTAATAAATCATACAAATCTTTATTTGTTATAAACAAATTGATTAAATTTTATCAATTGGTGTTTTCTGAAAATTACAAAATCCTTCATTCAAAATAAAATATAGGATAGTTAATATGTTACTGCCATCTACAGGAGCAATGAGAAACTAATCGAAGTGGAGCCATCTAGTGGCCGACGCCCGTAAACATTTTTGTCGAGTGCTTGAGTTGCTTATGTTTAACTAATTTATGTTTATTATCTATGGGTCGGATCAGATACGCTCTACTCAACGCTTCAGTCCACGACGCCATCCGCGCAGCCGAGGATAGGCAGGGCTGACGCAGGATAATCCAGGAGCTATTAAAGAAGGCCACGACTATCAGCGTTGAGGATTATCGATGCAAGATGGAGGAAGTTCTTGCCGGAATACATTACAGCTTAGGTGGTCGCGAATGACTGAGGTGTTTCATTCGTAGAAATTGATGAACAAGTTTACGACCTACCCGGTATTCAGAGGAGCCCTATCCCCCAGAGGATGTCTATCATCACTGCGTGCGTGCCACCTAATTTAAGACACCAGGTCTTAGTCACAGTTGCATATAACAGCGGCCACATTATAAAAGCTATGGCACGATGCATACCGGTTTACATTTTTTTTATTGGTGGACGAGCTCACGACCTACTTAGTGTTCAGTGGTTATCGGAGCCCATAGACATATACAACGTAAATGCCGCCACTCACCTTGAGATATGAACTCTAAGGTCTCAGTATAGTTACAACGGCTACCCCACCCTTTAAACCGAAACGCATTACAGCTTTACCGCAGAAATAGACACGGCAGTGGTAACTACCCGTGCGGATCACAAGAGATCCTACCACCGATAGGATACATGATTACCAATACCGTAATTATGACCCATAAAGCTTTTAAAGTTTGGCCAATTTAGCAACCTTTACGCTTCAAGCCTTCATCATCTTAGTAATGAAGCAGCAAGCCGATCCTAAGGACACGAAACTAGTTTCTCCGTCGGGATAAGTAACGGTGTTACAGGAAGCCAACGGTACAGTTATCACGGCCTGCCCTCCGCAACCGGTGTGTCGTGTTCGCGTCTGGGCTGCCATTTAATTGGACGGCTCGTGAAATTTATTCGTTTTCGCTTCAGCCGTTTCCTGTCTATTTATTAGACAAAAATATGCGGTTCCAATAGACGGGCGGATAAAATCACGGTTCTTTTTTAAACTGAAGTTCTTATCGGAGTTACTTTGGAACTATGCTCCATACAACGGTCAACACACAGTCAACGAATCTTTGATCAGCTCTCAACAATGCAAACATAAAGGCTTTTGCTTTATAAAGCACAAGTCCGGCCTCGCGTGGAGTACTGCTCCCACTTCTGGGCCGGCGCTCCCAAAATACCAGCTACTTCCATTTCTACTCCATACAAAAGGGGACCGTTCGGATTGTCGATAATCCCATTCTCACGGATTGTTTTGAACCTCTGGGTCCGCGGAGGGACTTCATTTTTTCTGTATTTTGTACCGTATGTTCCATGGGGAGTCCATGGGCGACGGTAATCTCTTACCATCAAGCACCGATGCTTATCTGCCTACAAGGGCAATCTAAAAATTAAAAAAATGACCTTTCTAATTACAGTCGTAAAATGTTCCCGCTAAACAAGCAACCGCTGGCTATATTATTGTTTTCAAAATTGTGGGGAAGAGCTCACGGTCTAATTGGTCTTAAGAGGTTACCGGAGCTCATAGAGATTCAATCACATTAATAACGCCACCAACCTCGGGAATAGAGTTCTAAGTCTAAATTTTCAAGCAGGTGGGTGGCTAATGCGAAAGGCATTACTGCTTCACGGCAGAAATAGGCGGAGCGGTGGTGGTACCTACCCGTATCCCTGTCCTGGTGAAACTGGAAAGGCCTCAGGGCCACCAGTAATCCTTCAATCATATAAAAAAAAACCTACCCGTGCGGACTCACATGTTGCCCTAGACCAAAATCTGATTCATAACATAACTGATAATATTAACGATTGATCATCATTGCTAGAAATATATTATTATTTACTAAGGTTGAAAAAAAATATAGAAAAAATCTATTAAAAAAATATTCGAATTTATTGTTGTAAGCATAGAAAGCTTTATATCCATTCTCTGGCATTAACAGCGTTACAGCCCTACTTAAGGCTTACTAACGGTGTGATAATTTCCATAGCGGTACTTATAATCACATTACTTTGTAGCTAGACATAAAATTACTTCCATAATTTACGTCACAACGCCATTCGAATACCACGAATAGTTTTCAGACTTAGTGGAACTTTTTTCTAGATGAAAAACCTAGAAATTTCTAGAAAGTATCTTCTAGATTCACACACACACACACACACGCATAATGACCTTAAATGATAACACCTAATGATCTCTCAACACTAGTCCGCAGCATCTGTTCACGACTTAACCTAACCTAATCTATCTTAAGAAGGAGGAAGCCTGGAGATCAGTAATACAGGTCTTTGAGCCTAGTACAGACTTCAGCTCTTTCAAAGGCTTACAAAATAAATTATAAGGTTAATTTCCATTTGTATTTGTACTATACCTTTAAGAGAGATATAAATAAATAATAATTATTATTATTATTATTATAGATAGATAATTTCATTAATATTCTTAATCCATTTAGATATAACCAGAGACATTATCTTAAGCTGCTAGTTGATGCACATGCCTACCTAGAACCGGTAGGTTGTCCGCACGCGACCAATTGTGTTTTTTAAAAAAAAAGCTCTGATTGACCCCGCGTTGATGTCTTTTATTAGAAAATTTGAAGTTCAACTTAAATTAACCCGAACACAGGTTGTTCGAGATAAAAGCTAACACGGATAATACGACTGACCCGTGACCAAAACATTAAAGAGATCGGGGTATGAAGCTTAGGCCTAGTTGGCAAACCATACATTTAACCAACTAGTCACGAATGTGCTAATGACTATGAGCCAAATAGAACTGCTAATACAATATAAGCACATGTCGTGCAGATAGAAAATTATATACCTATGTATAACGTCTCGATTCTGTGCAGTAGACATTACTTTTTTTTGCTTAGATGGGTGATTATTAAGTGGTTACAGGAGCCCATAGACAACGCCGCCACCTGCCTTGAGAAATGAGTTCTAAGGTCTCAGTTTTTTCAGTACAACGGCTACCCCACCTTTCGAACCGAAACGTATTACTGCTTCACGCCAGAAATAGGCATGGTGGTGGTACCACCCGTGCAGGCTCACAAGATACCCACCAGTAATTACGTAAATTATAATATTAGCGGGTTTAATTTTCATTACACCACGTTATTGCTTCATCGATTCGACCTGTGAACATTTGCTTAGTACGTATTTCATTAGAAAAATTGGTACCTGCCTGCGGGATTCGAACACCTATTCAGCGACATCACTCAATACGAATGTGCCGGGCGTCTTATCCTTTAGGCCACGATTACTTCAAATTGTAATAAGTACACTTGATGTGAAATAAAATCACTGCGTTGATTCGTCGGAGAAGTTAAGGACTATTACTGATATAGAGTTCCTCATGTGCACCCAAATAAAAACCACATTTGATCGTCATGTAAAAGACATCAACGCATGTTCTTCAATTTACACCATTTGGTGACGTTAATAATCTATTAAACAACTAATATGACTAGGTGAAATCCTGATTATAGATGTTATTTATGGAATTGCTATGTGAATTTCGACCACCGATGCATTGATTCGTAATGCAAATGAGCTTATTATTACCCGCAGCATTTTGGATAATAACGTTCCAAAAATGTAAAGATTTATCTTTTTGTAAAATCAAAGCGGAATTTTCAAGCTATTTCGATTCGTGCATTTAAAAATTATAATGATATGGTAATGAAATTATTTTATTTCAAGGGCCAAGGTTATCCTGACCTAGAGGATAAGACGTCCCAGTGTGCTCGTGTTGAACGATGCGACTAATGGAAAATGCCAAGGTATAAAGTCATCTCGGGAAAGGTCAATCATTCTTCCTAACTACAACATTAATGCGTAAAATCCCCTTCGAATGCCGTTTGGGATAGAACTATCTAACCCCAAACTCTACCACTCTAGAGAGTTGAGATGTTTCAACGCATTTGCAACAATATCCAGGCTTTAAGTCTTGTTTTCTAACTTACTTTTTAAGCCTTTTGTGAAAGTTTGAAACGAGTTCAAGCAGTTAAGGATAAAAATGTTGAGTGTTTTTTCATGTAACACCAACAATGTATTTTACTGTTTGCCTTAATGCACTGTGCTTAAAGAAGCTTTTTAATGTAGCATTTTCTTTTACACTTAAAGTACCCAATGTATTTTTTTTGCGTGGATGATGATGGTGGTTCTTGATGTTGTTCGAAAATTAAAACTACATAAATATTTATTTATATACTATACTATACTACCGATAATATATAATCTAGCTACGATTTATTTTCAGAAAATGTTGTTGTATTCGTGTTTTGAATAATTAACTCTTCCCGACATCTATTGGCGAATAATAATACTATATTTCTTAATTGAGGGCAACTAACCGCTTTAAAGACACAACAAGAGGGCGTTATCAAAAAAAAAACGAGCAAAGCTCGGTCATCGTCTATAATATTTAGGCCAAGAATAAATCACACACAAAAAAAATAGAAAAATATCAAGTTTCTCATAAGCTTACCGGGTAAACAATGCGAAACA